ACATGAAAGGAAGGGGAAAATTAAACCAGCATTCTAGGCCCAGCTCTTCATTACTTGCCCACACAAAACTCCCATTCACTTCAATGAATCAGGCTCAACATATGCATTTAAGAGGTAGATAAACACCCTAGGTCAGAACAGAAACAAAACCATTTCACAAAGGGATTTTTTTTAAAAAAATGACTGCCTTGTCACATACAATAGTCCTGGGAGGGGGGAAATATTCCTTTTCAGTCACCCCTTATAAACAAGCTGAACAAGACCCTGAGACTTCAGGAACAGATGGGAAAATGGGACAAACAGATGGAAACACTGTTTCTGGGGGGAATGAAAAGGAAAAAAAGGTCTAGGTGTAAACTGGAGCTGCTTTGAATCAGTGTTTCAAAATTAGGGAGCTGAGGCATCGTACAATTCATAAGGGGGACGTAATTTCATGCCTCTTAGATGGATATAATGGCAGGTCTTTTAGGTAGGTTAATAATGTGTGTTTTTCAAACAGCCTATTTGCATTATTTCTGCATATTTACATAATTATTCACATGGCTTCTTTGCAGTGCTTGTGGTCCATTTCTTATTCACTTCCTGGAGAAATAGCTTTCAGCCTTTTTATATCTTCATTATATAAAAACAAGAAAAAAATGAACCTCAAAAAACTCAAAAATAGGGCCTGATTCTGCTGCCATTGAAGTCAATATTGACTTCCTACTGACAAAATATAGATCATCGGCAGGTTTCAGACCCTCAGCTCCACAACACAGACCTCTACTACTTGAACTAGTCAGGTAGTAGCAGTAGTAGGCTGTTATCCTCTATGTGGACCAGTCTTTGGGGGGCAATGGGGGATGAGACACAGTTTTGTCAGTGGGTTTCACAGCTATTTGCTGACAGCAGAGGAATGTAGAGGCTGAGAACTCCTCAGTTCCGTTTCAGGTTCTACAAGGGCATGTCCTTTTGTGGTTGTAAGTTCTCCTACCCCTGTAACCCCAGCCTGCCTCTGTTCTCATCCACCCCACAGCCACACTGCCTTTTGCCTCCCTCTCCTGGCCCCCACTCCTATCCACCCCCTTCTCTGGCTCCTGATCCTCTCACTCCATTCCAGCCTCCTACACCACCCTGCTCCTGGGTGAGTTTCCTCAGGGACAGCAAAAGGCACATCCAGGGCAATCCCTCTGCTACATTTCGTATCTTGGCTCTAAGTTAAGCAGCTGCTAAAGCTTCTCAACAAAACAGTTGTAAGAATAATTTTAACATGGGCAAGTAGTATATTTCTCCAAATCTCATTCTTGGAAATGGCTGACACATTGTAGCTTAAACCCCCCCCCCCCCCCAGTCTGCCTGGTTGGAAAATTTCAACACAAATGGTTAAAGTTACAAACAACTGAAAACAGGGTCTTCTAATGGGAAGAGTTGGGCAGCTTTATATATATATATATATATATATATATATATAGGTGATGTTACCAATTCCACCGATAATATGAGATACATTGATTCTTCCATTAACTCAGATCTGCCAGTCTACGTATGTCTTTCTTTTTTTGAAATATATCAAAACAACTGGGTAAGGTTGTCAGATGAGCTTGTGTTACCTTCTGTTACTAAGAGGAGAGGGGCAGATGAAATAGTTTTAAGTTCTGGTGATATAATTCTGCTAAGAAGGATTAAGGCCCAGTCATAATCTGACCTGGTGAGATATAAAGCCAAATTGTACTCTTGGTTACCCCCACTGTAATTCCATTAACTTCAACGTAATTACTCCAGAGTTATACTGGGGCAACTGACAGCCCATACGGAGCCTCTGAAGGTCCCAATCATCCGGTCATAGCCTACAGATCCCCCCTCTTGGGTGGATAAAGAAAAGCAATGAGTTGACACAAGGGCATATGAGTTAAGTATGCAAAAGCTAGTTAGGTCATGTGGATTTAAGAGTGTTTGAGCAGTGGTTTAAAAACCGTTAAATGTGCTGGATCCATGTGAAAGAGTTACCAATGTTAAAAGGTGAAGCCCATATAATGCTCAAGCTCCCTCCCGCCCCCCAGCTAACTCCCCCAACAAAGCATTTTGTTGTTGTTGTTGTTTGGTGTGTCACTTATTTTGGGTCACTTCTTTACAGGCAACCTAGGGCTTTTAAGGACTGTGTCCCATATCTGGGTCTTAGCAGATTGGCCTGCATGGGCCTCTGTGACTTTAAAGCATCTTTAGAACATATGCTCCACATCAAAGGGGAGGGATGCCAAAGACTCATCTGCTAATGACAGAGAAAGAGAAAGAGAAAGAGTTTGCAGTAGGGCCACATTTTTACACTTCGGCATTTATACGTCAGCGGCAGAGGTCAGGGCCAGACCGGACGCTCACTGCCTCAATAGTGCAAGGTTTTTAGCTCAGAGGTTTTTGTTCAAACCCCTCTCTAGTTTTAGGAAATCCAAATTAGGCTCATAAATGAAAAAAACGGAAACCTCCCCTTATGTACCCACATTTGAAATATGGGCTCAGGGTGCCAGTGAAATCTTGCCATCACTTTCTGAATAGCCCTGCGCAACGTGCAGATTCCTGCCCATTGAACTTCCCCTTGCAGTTTCAACTGGATACAGGATTCTTCATTCCCCATATAGCAAAAAAGAAATGTCCAGAATTAATCAGACCAGTGGTCCATCTCCTGTCTCTGACAGTGGCCAAGAGCAGCTGCTTCAAAAGAAGGCACAAAAAATTGGAGAAGGAAGTGATCGAATGACCTGCCCACAAGAGCAGTCTCTTTCTAACTCTCAAAGCTTGGCTTATACCCTGAAGCACAGGGGTATATGTTTATAAGATGATCTGTAGGGCTGCTAATCAGCTACTATCTTTCACCCCAGCAATGGCTACATTTCAGTGGTGAGTAAAAGTAACTCGTGTGAAGTGCTTCGGAGGGTAAGGACTGCCCTAAAAATACTGGAGATGGCAGGGAAAGAGAGTGTGCAGCAAAATGAAAGGAATAGAAATATTAGCATTAAAAATGGACATAAAATGGCCCTTTGGTCTGTCAAGATGTGTCTGGTGTCTGCAGTCAAATCCTTCCTGAATAATGTTTGTGACTGTAATTTGTAAACCCAATTTAAAAACATTTATTATTTCCTACAGTGTGATCTAAATACCATCAATGAAGCAAGACACCAGTCTAAAGAGAGGCCTCATTTAAAGTTACAGGTGCTGCAGCCGATGACATCGGTGGGAGTTGGATCGGGCTCAGTGATGATGGGCAAAAAGGAGAGAAATTAAGCAAAGTAATTCTTGTTTTCATGGCCATACGATGCACACAAAAGTCAAGAGTCGTGAGGCCAAATGCCTGTGCAACTCTTCAAGGAACAGGAATAAATGTGCCAACTGAAGCAGGAACTGGCTGCCTGCAGCATGGATCATATACTTTAACAGGGCCTGATCCTGCACACCAGGTAGGGAGGGAGAAGGGGAAATGGAGGAAAGGATCTGTCGGGGGGCAGGAGGAAAAGGAGGTGCACAAATGAGGAGGGGGCACTGCTGTAGCCAGGAAGTGGAGAGATGAAATGGGGAAGAATGCAGGTCGTCCTACAGAGAAGAGATGAAGTGGAAGGGAGTGAAGGGAGCTGGGTAGCCCCCCCTCCCGCCCCTCCACCAGTTGCAACTGGGGTAAGAGCCACTGTAATGCAACTGGTGGATAGAGCATAAAGCCTGCTGAGTAGTACAAGCTGCAGAGATGCTGGCCCCTGAAGTATGAAAAGTGAGGGATGGAGATCTGTGGGAGCCTCAGACTTGTTATTTCTATGTTCAACTGTCTTAATTGCTACATGTCAGCTGCCTGTTAGAAGGAACTATGTAACTGCGACCTCCAGACTGGGAATTCACAGTGATTAATGGTCCTGCAGGGAGTGACTAACGAGGAAATCTTAGAAGTATATGAAAGATACAAACACCATGTAGGGAGAGGAATCCTTTAGGATGGCCCAGGAGCCCTACAGTGTACACTAAGCGAGGGAAATGTAGGTTGGATATCAAGGAAAATTATTGAATGAGGAGATCTATGTGCCAGAGCAGCGGTTCTGAAACTGTGGGTCAGGACCCCAAAGTTGGTCGCGACCCCATTTTAATGGGGTCGCCAGGGCCAGTATTAGACTTGCTGGGACCTGATCCACCCCAACCCGCTGCAGCCCCCTCTGCCTCCACCTGGGGTGGCAGGGCTTGACCTGTGGCCCCTCTACCCCCCTACCTGGGGAAGCAGGGCTCAGGGGTCGCAGTGCAATAAAGTTTGCGATACCCTGAGCCAGAGCAATGATTTCCCAGCACTTGAGACCCATCATCTGACCCATTAAACAAGACTGAGACAAAGAATGGAGAACAAAGTGTATGGGACAAACTGAGGCTGACATGATAATGGACTTTACCAGGGTGGTGCCGATCTCAATTACACAGTGTAATTTTGTTACTGTCTGTGGAGCTACTCCTGATTTACACCAGTCTAATAAAGACCAGAATTAGGCTCTAGGGCCCAGATTTGTAAAGGTATTTAGGCATTGCTCCACTCAGCAATACAAGGCCCAGGTGACTTAAATGGCTAAGTGCCTAAGTCACTTCTGAAAACGGGAATCTGCTATTTAAGTCACATAGACCTTGCAACGCAGAGCAGAACAATGCTTAAAAGCCTTTAAAAGAATCTGGGCCTAGGTCTCTTCCACCTCTAATTTCTATGGGCCAAATTATGAACCCCTTCCTTATGGGAGAGCACTATCCACATGAGTCATTGCAGAGGCTAAGATTGAGCAACAGGTTCACAGACTAGCCCAATTCCAAGCTTTCCCAAGGCTACACTGAGTGTCCGGCACTCAGACCTCTCCTGGATTGACACTCTATAAAGCAAAAAGACGAAACCCGTTTTTCAAAGTACACAGCACAGAAACACAGGTAGACAATTGCTCAAGCATAAGGTTTTAAGAAAACCTATTTCTCAGATGAGAACATCACATAGCTTCACAACAGAACATGTACATTTTCATACGAACTAGAGGTACTCCCCATGGGACAAGAACATCTGCGTTTTAAAGCAGGGAAGATAGAGTTACAGTTGTAAATTCAGGGTCTAACACGGCTTTATAACACTGAATACCAGACTCTACGATATATTGTGCATCCCAAGTAATTTCAATATTAGTAACTTCATTTCTTTCAGTTCTGACCCACAAGCTTTTAGGCTAAGATGTTCCAAATCCCACTGGAATTGAATGAGAGTTGGGCACCTAACTCCCCTAAACTTATTTGAAAATCCCACCATTTAATCTTAAATGTAAATGTCACACCCTAATAATGACACACATTAAACTTTATGCAGATAAAGAATGTTACTGTTAGCTCCTGCCCTAGGAAACATCACACACTTCACCACCATGTTATGAATTAAGCAGAACAGCAGCTATGCAACCTGTTATTATGACTATCTATTTAGCACCATTGATGTGTAAGATGCTCTGCAGATTCCCCACCCCAAAGAGTTTACAATCTATGGGCATGATGCTGCAGCCGCTCACTACCAAGTCTAATGCATACTCCCAAAAGCACAGTATCCCACTCACTTCGGTGACTGTTCGTGGAATATGTGCTGCCCTGACCCTGTAAAACATCCCTCTTTGGTATGGGCGCTTAAACACATGCTTAACTTTCAGCATGTGTTTAAGTCCCATTAAAGTGAATGGGACTTAAGCATGTGCTTAAAGTTTACACCATGTACTTAAAGGTTTTCCTGAATTGAGGCCCATGCTAAGTAAGGTTTTCGGAATTTGTCCCTAGAGTAAAGACAAGAACAGGAGACATCATTAGGGAGAGGGGTTGGGGTTGCAGAAGAGGAAGCTAAGGACAATAAAATCATTAAAGCACTTAGGTGAGTCTTCAGGGTCAGTTTTGGGCTATTTTCTGCAATGCTAATATATGAAGACTATAGTTTATAGCCCTGCTTGAATGACCCACGGTGGATGTGCTTAAAAAGTCTCACTGGTTTGAAAGAGTCTATCAGTTCTAGAGAGCGTTCTCAGTTATGAAGATAGAGAATTCCTTTAGAACCAGTAGAATCTTTCAAACTGGTGGATGTTCTTAAGAGTGACAACTTTCCCATTTTCTTGATTTAAAATCTCACTGAAATCATCTATCAATTTTATCACCATAATCAACAGTGTTCAAAATCCAGATGTAGCCCTTCATCCAAATATTGCTATCTTTATAATGAGTGGATCCAGAATTCCAATCCAGATATTCTCAGGCTTTGGGGTTAGAAGTCCAGAACTACATCAGTCTCTGAATTCTGAAGCTTGAGCTCATCTCTAAGTATCAGAGACAGAGCTCTGACTCTACATGGCCATTTAGTTTTATTTCAAACCCAGCAACTTTATTAACATTTCACTCAGGTATAAGATGCAGCTGTTTCTGTTTTTGCTTCCTCTTTTCTAGAGTATGGAGAGTTATTAACATGATGTAGTAATTAGCACATCACCAATGTTCAGTCTGTGAGAAATTTGTCATTGGGTGAAAAACGGAACTCATGAGAATGGTACAGTAAGTATTTGTTACAACTCTTTTAAATACTGCAGCACCGGCTGCAATGGCATGTTTTCTCCGGAGCGGAAGTTTCGGAAAGCTTGATCAATTTTCAGAGGACTCAGAGATAGATCATAGATGAGGTTGTAGTTGTGGATTAGACGCTTTGCTTTTTCCTTTTCCAGCATGCCTACATTTAAAAAAAAAAAAGACTTTAAAAAAACCTGGTTCATTTTTCTACAGATTATCAACTCATTTCCTTCAGCAAAAATCAAACACTTTGATGACTCTTGTTCCTTATTAGAATATGGTTCCCAAATACCATAAAGGTTATAGATTCCCCATTTATAGGAGGGTCAAAGAGGCATGAAAGAAGCCATCATAGTAAATTGTTACTTAGCATGTATTCAAAGCATGTACTTCATTTTGCCAAAAAGCCAAAGTCCACCAAACCAAAGAGGACTTTGGTAAAACCTGCAGAGCTCAGATACTGTGTGATGGGAGCCAGGTGAATATCCTGTTCCATCAGATAGAAGTGATTGGACCCAAGCAGACAGCACAGGGAAGAAGCCTAAATGTTTGCACATTTGATTCAAGCTCATCTTTGAGCACTGTGGAGTGTGATTCATATGAAGGTGGGGAAGTTACAGAAAGGTCTCATAGCAGACCAAGAGCATATGTTTAGCAAAAAACAAGGTGAAACAGAGAGATCTATGGAAAATCACAATACACTCCCTGGATAGGAAATTATTGAACATTCAGAGCCAGGGAATAACCAACAAACAAACCACTGCGGACTGGTCACCAAAAGGGAACGGTTGAGTCTTTGCCTTTTCCTGCCCTGCCTAACTGTGCCAGTGAAATTCTTTCTTTATTGGGGGGGTGGGGGCGGGGGTGTTTGTGTGACCAAAAGTGAAAGAGAGGTATGTTGTTATGTACAGTCTCTGTTATGATACAGTTGTTGCCTGGCAAATGTCTATACATTAATCCTGAGGACACTGGCTAAGCATCAGGTATTTAACAGCTTGGAGATTGGCCAGTTCTTAAACATTAAGGCTCAGCCAGGAGGGGAGGCTATGTTAGGAGGAGGCAGGCCATTTGGGCACTAGGCAGTGTGGATGGGAATCTGTTACTGGTGCAAAACCCCTCTTGCCTACTGGCAACAACCCTTGTCCTCAGCCTGCCCACTTCACCCTGTTGTCAGTTCTTCAGCCCTCCCTCAAGCTGGGAACTAGCCAAGGAGCTAAGTGGATCTATCAGGAGGACATCTGGTTGGTGGCAGGGAGAAACTACAATGGAGATGACAGCAGGTAACTTGTAAAGCCAAAGGAGCCACATATGTGCACCCAAGAGCAGAATATGACCCTCCTGACTTTCAGACCCTTCCTTCTGGCTTCAATAGTCATTAATATTTTTCTTTTGAGATGTATTTATTCACAGGCATTCCTACGGCAGTCACTGGCAGAATATTCAAGTGCACCCAGCACCCATCTGACATTGGGCAGTATTATTAGCTCTATTGTACATATAAGGAAAATAAGTCACAGAGACTTTCAGTGACTTGCCCAGTGTCATGCAAGTAGTTCATAGTGGAGCAGGGAATAGAACCCAGACTGACATCCCTCTGACCTTGAGTGTTTTAGAAAGCAAATTACTTTCAAATAATAGCTCTGATCCCTTACTCATGTGGGTGGTCCATTGAGTAAAGTCTACAGGCTGTCTTTTAAAACATTACCTGTGTTTTTTATATCACACAAATAAAGAGCTCTTTCTAGTTTTCTGAACCGGTCTATCCAGGCCTCCTGCTCTTCAGAGTCACTGGAGTCAGTCGGACTGAAGAAAGACTGGATCACTGGTCTTTCTTTTCCTTCAGTGGCAGGATAGTTTCGAGACCAAGTCTTGTAAGCAAGAATTTCATGCTCTTTGGTGTTTTCCTGCAAAGGAAAGGCCTGATCAGTGTGAATCAAAGACTTACCACGAATAGTTTTCTACAGAGGGAAGATAGAGTTGATCCCAGGGAGAGGAGAACTGAGGTACAACAGATCTCCCTAGGCTGGTGTGACGCCACCACAAGGGTACACTCCTCCTTCTCAGTCTGACCATCCTTACTTAAAAGAAAAAATGTAACAAGTTCCCATCATTGCCCAGAACTCACTTAATGGGTTTTCTGATAACCAGCTTCCCCACTTCACTAGGACAGTTGCCAGTGCATTGCATTTCAGTGATTAGCTACAGTGCATAGTTGGCACAACAGGTTATTTTCAAGCCTACTCACCATAGTTTAGAGCTGTGACCTGAAGACAGCCAGCATACGTTTGCCAACTCTGTTCCCTTCCCTCAGTTCCTGCCTCTTCCCTGGCTACTGAACAAATTCGTCAAATTCAGTTTTTTTCTTTGACCACCCTCTCCCCATTTTAACAGTTCAGACAATGGCTGTTTTTAAAGTTATCTGTGAAGTTCCTCTCTTTTCCTTCAGCAAGTATTCCTCTGAATGGCGGAGTCTCATGATGAATGGCTAATTAGCATCCTGTTTCCACTAGGGGTGCCATAAAAGCAATTTGTTATGCCAGAAAGGTCCCCACTCACAGTAATCCATGGTATGGTGCCAAGTGAAAGAATGAGGCCTACGGAGTAACTGGTAGCACTGTATGGGGTCTAAAGCAGCGGTTTCCTCCACACGAGAATTCTTTTCAGTCAATGGCGAGTACAAAGAAAATTAAGTCCCTGCTGTTCAATCACAAGTCGCTACTAAGAAATTTAAATGGAAACTTAAGATTAAAACTATTAGCGACAGTGTCATGCTGGGTAAATGGCAACCACAGAATACTTTTGTGTTTAAGGCAGCTATGAACACCACAGTCGTGGGCTTGGTCTAGAGTGTTGTCTACCTCCGGAAATAGCCCCAACTCAGCCATTGCTGAATCTGCACTTGTGCTGACCCCGCACATGTAGATGAGGGGGGGTTGGAATCACTAACTGAGGTTGACTTCTGCCCAGTCAGTAGCCTTTGTCTATGCTTCCAGGGTATGCACTGGTGCGCTGCACTGACTGCTGACCACCAAAGGCCGAGTCAGGGCAATTTCCAAGTCTGGATACCCTTAAGACATCCTTGCCAGCTGGTAGAGGCTTCAGCAGAAACACAGCCCAGCAAGTGTTTACCCTCAAGGAATAATGGGCCAAAACTTTTCAAACCTGGGAGTGTAAAGATAGGCTCCTAAACCCACAGTGAAGTTCTTAAATATGGATTATGGAGCCCAGATCCTTAAAGATGTTTAGGTGCCTAAATCTCATTGAAATCACCTTGATGACCAAATATTAAATCACAAGAAAATTAAAAACAAAGCAACAAAAAAAATCCCCTGTCCTGGGATGAAACCCAGTGACCCTGGAGCTCTCCCTTCCCACAGGCATTCTCCTCTCTGTCAATTGATAGTCATGAAGGGATGGGTTAAGGAAGCTGAGCTGTGATTACTCCATTTCTTACCAAGGAGCAGGTATTTTTTCATAGATTCATCAATTCCAAGGCCAGCAGGGACCATTGTGATAATCTAGTCTGACGTGCTGTATAACACAGGCCAGGGAACTTCCCCAAAATAATTCCTAGAGCAGATCTTTTAATAAAATATCCAATCTTGATTTAACAATTGTCAGTGATGGAGAATCCACCATCACCCTTGGTAAGTTGTTCCAGTGGTTAATTACCCGCACTGTTAACAATATATGCTTTCTTTCCACTCTGAATTTGTCTAGCTTTGGCTATCAGCCGTTAAACCATGTAGCATCACTGCACTTTTCCACAACCTCACTTGCAATAGTAGTCAGAAGACAGCTCTCAAGCCAAGACAGAGGGGATTTTGTCATTATTTCCTTTCACGTGGGCTGCCAATATTGATATTATTTTCTGAAGTGTTTTACAGCAGGAAGCAAATATAGAGAGAGGCTGGGTCACTTTAAATAATAATAAATAATAACAAAAATAGCTAGCTCTTATGTAGCACATTTTCACCAGTACATCTCAATTTTGCTAAATTCCTTAACTGAAAAACAATGTTTTCATTTCTGTTGGAACCTTAAGGCAAAATACTGGGAAAATAACAGTTTCTTCGAAATGGCTACCAGAAACAAAGGCTCTTCTCAGTCCATTAGATTTACATTTCAAATCCTGTCATCTGTGGGTGAAGATCATTATCTCTCACACACAATGACCTTAAGACATTGACACTAACATCATGACCACTCCTTACTTTAATAAGAGCCAGTATATTGTTATTTTCCATGTGGTCAGTTGCACCTAGCTGCAGCATGACAGAATTCCAATGGGAAAGTCAAAGATTCTAAATGGCTGTGCACCAGGCCCCAGAAAAGTAAGCTTCATATCAATGTTAAATGGGAACACAAAGGAAAGACTGGGGATGTCCTTTCTCGTTAAGTCATAAGGCCCCAATTCACTAACTTGTGCACCTTTAAGCATGAAAGTCATTCCACTGAAGCCAACGGGAGTACTCATATGTTAAAGTTACACATGCACTTCGGTGCTTTGCTGGGCTGAGTTTTAGGGTATTTAGGCACAGGAAAAACCATTGACTTCCGAAGGCACAGGATCTGGCCCATGCTGTTGACTGGATATTAATATTTGGTTTATTAATTAAGAAAAAACAAGTTACAGACTTGCCTTCTCCGTTGCAGAGACCCTTATATAAAAGATCATCTGTAACATACCAACCAAAGATACTTATCAGCTATTTGCCTATATCCGTTCTATTGAACATACCAGACGGGCAGCCACATCATCGCTGATTTCCTCTTTGAATTCCCCTAAAATGGAAACATTCGTAAGAATTTCTTGCATCTACGTGCTCCATAAAAATAATCACAACGATGGGTTTTGGAAACGATGAGCCTGATGCAATGCTCATTGAAGTTAATGGAAATAACCTCACTCAAGCACTGGATCAGGGCTTGAATAAACATGAAGGACTATGTCACCAACACTTAGAGCAATACACACTTTCAAGTACATTTTTAAAATATGAGCAAATGCCCAACTGGCCTGGCTGTTACTGATGATCTCGATACTCAATTTGCCCACCATTGTGCGGGGAACGAAAGTGCTACTTTTAGTTTTTCAACCACTCTAGTAAGTTAACTTCTCTCAAAGGCAAAAGCTTCCCCCACTGTTGAGAACCAGTTCTGTTCTGCTGTGCAAGTGAGGTGGTCATGCACCAACTCCGTGAATTCAGTGAGTATCTCTGGAGGGGATCCCTGTGTGGGTAAGGACTTTGAAGGATTCTCCAGCAACGGGGTTGGAGCAGTCTCTACAGAGCACCTTCAGCTTATGGTGAGAAATCCCTCTCCCTACGCAAGTGGGTCACACAGGAATCCAGTCTCGCTGCAGCCAATCACAGCAGAAACACAACTGGTCAATTGTATGGTATCTTTCATGCAAAGCAACCACAAAACGCTTTGCAGGCAGTTACGTTCCAACTGATGTAAAGTAGGTAGGTTACAGCTCAAGCCGAGTGAACTTCAGCAAGGAAGCAGTCAGAATTGTGTTGATGTTTTGGAGTAAGTGAAGCTGGTCAAAAAATTTCACGCAAAAATATTCCTTCTGGAAACATGGCTTCATCAACATTTTGGGTGAGGACACAGCAATGTGGACAACATTGTTTGTAATTTTCCAATCATGAGAATTAAAACAAAATATGTTGCCGTGTTTAAAGGCTTCATTTTGAGATTTCTGATCTGAAATATTCTGCCACGTTTCATCCAGTGAAGTTTTCCAATATTTCCACTTTCTGGGCCGATTCAGGATGAAACCTAACTTTGGAATGTCAATGTTTCCTGTCAGAGAAACATTCCATTTCCTAGCTAGTCCTAACAGAATGATGGTTGGCAGACCCATTTGAAGGAAATTATGTCAGAACTAGGAGTTTATGCAAGGTTGCTTTGGGTAGAAAGGTAGAGGAGGGCACAAAGATATGGGCCAAAACACATCTAAATGTTGCCTGGATACTGTAGAAACAGTGTGATAATAAAGCGCCCACAGAGGTTGCCATTAATGAAACAGCAGCATTTGCCAAAAATTACTACCCAGTGATATCTAAGAGATGGCCACCATTTCCTGTTCTAAATACAGGGAACTAACTGAGGCATGTCAGTTACCATTGTGTTATAGCTGTTGGCGAACAATGACCTTTTAATGGAAACACCTGTACATAATTTTCTACAGTCCTGCATCTGTTTCCATGGAAATGAAACCAGGCAAGGCAGCTGAATCTGAAGATTTTGATTATGCAGATTTCAGCTGTGGCTACCAGCTGGGCTCTGTGAATACCATTTTCCAAACAGCACCTGCCACACTTTAGGGTTCCATATGCTCCTAAAGTCTCCAGAGCCAGATTCTGCTACCAGTTACACATATATAAATCCATACTGACTCCACCTAACACCATGGAATCACTATGGATTTACATTGGATTTATATGAGTGCAGGATCAGGCGTTTAGGTGTTGGAGTGGGTGGAGAAGGATAGAGTTTTCATGTTAATTTAAAAAAAATCATAAGGAATCATAAAAATTCTTTTCCCTACTTTTACCAGATATATTCCCTTCTCTGTGGGGGGAACTGGCTCAAACCCTCATTTTGTTACACAGTTTTCCAGGTACACTGAATACAAAGGCAGTCGACTGTCTCATAACCCTCATCTATCTCAATACTTTGCATTGGTGAATTCTGTGCCTCGCTTCATTGCCTTTCGTATAATTTTATGGGAACTTTTTTTTAAATTCAAGATTATAGACAGACATACAATGCAGCCAAGAGTGGGGTTAAAACTCCTCTTTCTCCCCCTCTCTTTAAGGCAAAATCTGGCCTTTGTACGTATCCCACTTCCCCTGTGTCATATTCTGTGATGACCCCATGCAATTCCAGTGATAGACACACTTCAGGACAGAATTTGGCTCAGCCTCTCAAATCCTACTCATTACCATGGCATCTGGGTACCTATCACTAATTTGTTACCAGTGGTGTCTATTCCCAGCTTCTAATCTCTGTTACCATCTTTTATTTTACTGCTGTATGTGTCCTATCCTGCACATGTAAAATGTGCAAGGATTCGGAGAGGCCAGTTTTTTCCCTAGTTTTAGTTCAGGTGTGTTCACTTTCCAGAGCTGGCCAACTACAAAGGACTGCACATACTGCACCCCATCAAGAGATTATATCCAGGCATGCTCTCTCCTCTCTGTCCCCCACACCTACGCACACCAGTAAACTGTCCCCTATGCAAGGGGATCAATGCCTAACAGGCTCAACCCATCCCTGTGTTTTCACAGTTACGCTGTTACAGCTTAAAATTCAAGCGCTTGTACACGATTCTCTGGCTAAGTACTGTAAATCAGTTCTCTTCCAATACCTGCTTAATAACCATCTATTTGGAGATTACACTGATTTATGCACAGCAAGATAGATTGCAGCATAACATTTCAATGGTAGGAAAGATGAATTATCACTATGAATGAAGGGTGTTTATAGTTCAACAGACAGCTGATTTGTCTCCAACCAGATGGTTATACGTTCATGTCCAAACTTAGAACCCTGAATATGCTCCTATGCTATGATTATGATTGGCTGAACACAGGGTTTGGCCATCATGTGAATATTAAAAACCCCATAACACTTTCTAAAGATTATTAGATTAATGTAGTGTCCCTGTCAATAGCTCACAATCCAGCCTTCATTTCAGCTTTGAAAAACCAGAAGCAGAAAGAAGTAGCCTCAAAAACCAGCTGCCTCTGTATAAGCAAACACATTCATTATTAAAGCTGGGCCTGAATCCAAATGATGGATCCTACCTAACGCATCAGGGTCCTTCAGGACATTCAAAATCTAAACGTGGAGCTGAATCCAAATTTTGCAAATAGTCATTAGCTGAACCAAACCCCTCCTTACAAACATCCCAGACATGTTGGGGTTTTAAAATCTGGATTGGGATATAAATTTTGTGGTTTGAGACAATCTTCACTAATTATTCAACTAGACTTTATATTATTTATTTATATTATATTATTAATAATTATATATTATATATTATTCAAGTCTTTTTAAATGAATAATTTTTGTTTCACACTACAGTTTGGAAATAGCTTTTCCAAACAGGACAAACTATAAGGAGGTATTAACATCTCCTGAAAAATTTTGAAAACACAGCATTCCACTTTTTTTAAAAAAATTCTGTCTTCATCCTGGTTTTTCTCTTTGAAAGAATCTGAAATTTCAAAGCAAAAATCTTTAAATCTTTAAATATTCATGGTAAATAGGCCTAATGGCCTGTGATGGGAAGTTAGATGGGGTGGGATCTGAGTTACCCAGGAAAGAATTTTCTGTAGTATCTGGCTGGTGAATCTTGCCCATATGCTCAGGGTTTAGCTGATCGCCATATTTGGGGTCAGGAAGGAATTTTCCTCCAGGGCAGATTGGAAGAGGCCCTGGAGGTTTTTTGCCTTCCTCTGTAGCATGGGGCACAGGTCACTTGCTGGAGGATTCTCTGCTCCTTGAAGTCTTTAAACCATGATTTGAGAACTTCAATAGCTCAGACATAGGTGAGGTTTTTCGCAGGAGTGGGTGGATGAGATTCTGTTGCCTGCGTTGGGCAGAAGGTCAGACTAGATGATCATAATCATCCCTTCTGACCTTAGGATCTATGAATCTATTTATTTTGCCATTGTAAATACGGGCCTTGTTTTCACAGGGGCAGAGCACCAACAGCTCCCAGTGATGTCTACGTAGTTGCTCAGCACCTCTGCATGGAAAGGGCCTGATTCTGCATTGACCTGCACCATGTGTTATTGTTTGCACCAATGCAAAGTGAATGTAAAATATTCTCACGATTTGGTAGCAGGTTACACCCACTTGGGACTGGCGTAAATGCCTACATAAGGTGTCAGGCAGTGGAGTAACAGCCCAATGTCTTCTTTGAAGCCAGGATGACAATTATTTTCTGATCATAATGGAGCCAGATTCTCAGCTGGTTTAAATTAGGGTAGCTCCCTTAAGGATACTTGAGTGACATCAATTTATCCCAGCTTCAGGTCTGGCCTATACTCTGCACTATTTCTTCATTTTCTCTAAGTTGAAAATTCTACAACAGCAACTGGAAAACCGGAAAAACTGGAAAAAAAAGAGAGATTACATGCAGCCAAACAGGTGAATGCATCAAACTAGTGAAATTCCTGTACTGTCAGAATGAATCCAGGAGTGGGGATTTATTACGCATAATTTTCCTTTGGAGACTATACATTGAACTGCTCTTTAAAGTGAAGAGAAACATTTACTGAACTTGCTTTGGTGGTGGTGGGTTGTGGGATTTTTTGTTGTAGTTCCAGACTTGTGAGACCTTTTCATTTCTTAAAAACAAGGCCAATGCTCAGCATGGCACTTTGACAGGGTGGCATTATCAACAGCAGGACACTTGTTGGGAAAAAGCTCACTATGTAGGATGAAGATATTTCAGGAATCTTTGGTCTTGGAAAAGGTTGTATTTTCAGGATGCTTGTTATATCTCATGGGTGTGATTTAAAGTGACAGCCAAAGTGACACTTACCCAAAGGAACAGGCAAATTTCGAATCGCATCAGAATGAGCTTTCTTGAGCAACTCCACAAATTTCTTCCACCTGCATGTGCAAACATTTTAAAAGGAAATATAATATTTGAAAACAGTCCCCCAAACAAAACAGTCCCCAAAGTCTGACTTCTGAGATCTATGTAATGAAGGTCAGAGACATCATTAAAAATAAACAATAAATTTATGAAAAGGTTTTTTGAAATAAAGAAAGAAATCACATTATAAATATGCAGCAGAGCATACCACAATCACCAGCATGAAGGTTAGCTTGTGTACATAAATGTAATACATCACATGATACACTGGCTACACATTCAGGACAACATTTTCCAAACGGCAGACTCTGTATTTGCCAGTGCATTTTGGAGCTCTGTGATTTTTAAAAATACTATCTATCTATAACTGACACAAAGGATGGACACAAACTTTGCTTTATGGGCCACATCCTCAGTGGGGAGAGTTGAAATTAACAGACCTATGCCGATTTCCACCAGTTTAGTTAACCTGAGGTGGCTTTTTGGTGGTGCTACAAAAGCTTTATCTCCCCAATCCTGTAACTTCCAGAAACTGAACTGATCCCCTCATTTCTCCAGGAAAAATAAATTAAAGAAGAGAGGTAGAAAAATCTGCATAGAAATATCAGGCATTCCTCCTCCAAGCCCCCATTTTTCTTTTTGACAAGTTACAGAGAGGACATAACTTGTTCTGCTTTGTTCAACAAGGCTAATCTCACGTGACTGTAATCACTCATGGTGTTTTATTGATTAAGCACATTTAATCAGAAAGTGGCTTAGAGCTAGATTCCTGCTAATTACTTGAGAAACAGCCCCCCGAATGACTTCACAATTGGACTGCAGATTAGAATGGACAGTATATACTAAAACAATGATTCATGCATTCAGCTTCCTAGATTTATTTTATTTATATTGGATTTTTTAATCTCTAAAGAGACGTAATTCAGTCTGTGGGCAAGTGGCGTTTAAAGCCCTTAACAAAATAGCTTTAATTTAACAGACAAGGCCTTAGCCAAAGATGGTATGTGTGTGGAAGAGTTTATCCTTTACAAATATAATTCTTCACTGCAGGTCATAGGAGTGAAGGTGCCCTATCTCACACCGTGCATGGATGGCTTGTACAGCACGGAAAGGTAAGCCTTGAGAAGTCCATGCTTTGCCGAGAGCCAAGAGAGTCCTACTAAATCAAGACACGAGAATCCATACAAAGACTCCTCTACAGTTAGGTTAAGGTCTTTGCTGCAGGATAAGGGCAAATTAGCCTCGTATGGGCTAAGGTACTTTGATTTTGTTGTAAGGTTCTCCTAAGTTCTGCTGATGTGAAAGGGGCTTTGGGTTGGTTTCTTCCTTCCAGTCATGCTATGAGGAGCTCTACCCTGTATCTGTGACCAAAGTCAACCCGATTTTGACCTTATAACTGGCAGGGATTCCCAACGAAGAGTGGGACCTCAAGCTCCCAGGAAGGGGATATGGAAAATCACTGAGTGATCTCCCATTTCAGTGTCTCTACCAGAGCGAAGATTGGGCCAGCCTGTGAATTGCAAGTCTCCATGACACACCTGAAAACAGGGAGATGGGAGAAGCCCACGCACAGAGCAGTTGACTTTGTAGCTTGTGTGCGAGGCTGACCCTGTGCAATCAAATGTCTATTTTAGAAGGAATTATCAAGTGTGGATGGTATTAAAAACTTACTGTATTTTGCCTTGTTTGCACAAATTGTGGTTGTTGAGCAAAGCTTCCAGCAATAAAGGAGTTAGTCTATGCTTCTGGCAAATGGTCTCAATCTGGAAACAAGATAAAATTTCCCACTGAAATTTGGGGTATCATTATCTTCAGCAAAGCAACTGAGGGGAGCAGATTTTATTATAAATCCAGGGCACATCACAGCCATCAGCTCCGGTATAAAAGATACATGGCAAAGTGTTTTCAAACAGTCTAGTAAAACAGCATATACACATAGAATCATAGAACCATAGAAGATTACGGTTGGAAGAGACCTCAGGAGGTCATCTAGTCCAACGCCCAGCTCAAAGCAGGACCAATCCCCAACTAAATCATCCCAGCCAGGGCTGTGTCAAGCCTGACCTTAAAAACTTCTAAGGAAGGAGATTCCACCACCTCCCTAGGTAATGCATTCTAGTGTTTCACCACCCTCCTAGTGAAAAAGTTTTTCCTAATATCCAAGCTAAAACTCCCCCACTGCAACTTGAGACCATTACTCCTCGTTCTGTCATCTGCTACCACTGAGAATAGTCTAGATCCATCCTCTTTGGAACCCCCTTTCAGGTAGTTGAAAGCAGCTATCAAATCCCCCCTCATTCTTTTCTTCTGCAGACTAAATAATCCCAGTTCCCTCAGCCTCTCCTCATAAATCACGTGCTCCAGCCCCCTAATCATTTTTGCTGCTCTCTTCTGGACTCTTTCCAATTTTTCCACATCCTTCTTGTAGTGTGGGGCCCAAAACTGGACACAGTGCTCCAGATGAGGCCTCACCAATGTCGAATAGAGGGGAACGATCACATCCCTCAATCTGCTGGCAATGCTCCTACTTATACAGCTCAAAATGCTGTTAGCCTTCTTGGCAACAAGGGCACACTGTTGACTCATATCCAGCTTCTTGTCCACTGTAACCCCTAGGTCCTTTTCTGCAGAACTGCTGCCTAGCCACTCGGTCCCTAGTCTGTAGCACTGCATGGGATTCTTCTGTCCTAAATGCAGGTCTCTACACTTGTCCTTGTTGAACCTCATCAGATTTCTTTTGGCCCAATCCTCTAATTTGTGTAGGTCCCTCTGTATCCTATCCCTACCCTCCAGTGTATCTACCTCTCCTCCCAGTTTAGTGTCATCTGCAAACTTGCTGAGCATGCAATCCACACTATCCTCCAGATCATTAATGACCATATGCAGTTGTGACCAGGACTGAGCCTTTTCTTCTTGTGAGCCTGACTCTGCAGTCATCTAACATGTTAAACTCCATGTGCAAATTCTGCAAGCAGAATCAAGTGACTGTGCAAAAAGATTACCAGCAGATCTTATTAAGAATTAGGTCTGGCTGAAAATTTTCCTTCAAAACCATTTCTTGGATGGAAAATGGGTTTTCAGGTAAATGAAGGTTTTCACAGAAAGCATCCAATTTCCTGGAACATTTTCGTTTTGTCATTGGAAAGCTGAAAACCCCAAAGTTTGAGCAGATTTGGCAGTTTTCTGCCAGACATGTTCAGTTTTTGGTTTTTTGATAAAACTTGAAATTTTCGGCAGAAAAAAAAATCCCATTTTCCAACCAGCTCTACAATAATTCTTAAACATAACTCATAAATCTATTTTTTAAAACAGATGAGCTCAGAATTCTGTGTTGAATACCCCCAAACTGAACAACATTCAACACAGATCATCTAATTCGTCCCTTCCTCCTTTTTTCAGATCTGTGACACCATGGCCCACTGCTCGTTACTGCCTCCTGAATGGTATGAAGCCTCAAGCATTCACTGTGCTTAGAAACTCACCTCAGATTCACCACTGAATTTCCAAGGAGCCAACCTGTAGGCATGAGGCACGTCATTTATCATTCAAAATGATGTACTGTTTTCTAAAGTCTTTCTATTATTTTAACCCCATGGGTGTCATATAGGAATGCTCTAAACTTTACAGAAGCCACAAAGTATAACAAATCCAGGATTTAGCTTTTAGCCTTTTCACCCCTCCCTCTCTTCAGCTCTTCCCTCTCCACACACTTTCAGTTTTTTACCTTAACAAAGACATGGGATCACTGCTGTTGGGATACTGCAGAGCGGTAACCAAAAGCAATATAAGCCCAGCAAATTCTGCAAAGTATCAAGTGTTCTCAACTCCCATTGACTTCATTGGTTTTCGAGAGTCTTCCCACTTCTTAAAGTCTGTGTCTCTACATATGTCTACACTGCACTAAGAGATCTGGGGCTGGCCCAGGTCAGCTGAGTCATGCTCGTGGGGCTTGGGCTGTGGGGCTATAAAAATTGCAGTGTAGACATTCGGGCTCGAGCCTGGGCTCTGATCTGGGCTCTGATCTGGGAGAGGGTCCCAGAGCCTGGGATCCAGACCAAGCCTGGATATCTACACTGCTGTTTTATAGCCCTCCAGCCCATGCCCTGTGAGCACAAGTCAGCTGACACGGGCCAGCCACCAGTGTTTAATGGCAGTGTAGACATATCCTTTTAGACCAGTTCTGCAGGATTCACATTCTTTTCTTATTTTTAAGCATAAAAAATAGCTTTGAAATACATTCTGCAATAGTAACAGGATCTATGCATATAATTGAAACAAATTGTCCATCAGTGGCTTTAAGTGTATACACTGCTATTAAATGACAGCGGTCTACCTGTGATTACATGACTAGACTGAACCCTGTTCTGGGGCCTGTTTACCTCATATAGAGAGAGGTGGCCAGAGAAAGACTTATCTTCTTTTTGAAAACTCAGGATCAGTTTCTCCATGTCTAGTTCCCCCTTATATTCCTTCAATATTTGCTTCAAGATCTGCAATGGGTCTTTGGGAGCCAGAGCACTGGAGGATCAAAATATACAGATTACCACAAAAATAATACATTATACTTTACAGTTCACCTTGTCCCACAAAGGATCCCAAAGTGTTCGACAAGTATATTGCCCTCTGGCAATATAGAACCTCTGAGGTGTTCTGGGGCAGCTGTTGAGCTGATCACAGCAACGCAACAAAACAGGCTTGGGTAGGAAGCAAAGAAAAATAGCAAATCCAGCTCAAATGCCATGGTAAAGAAAACATAATGACCTAAAATGGGTTTTGGCTAGATTATCAGGCTTAACGCTGTGATTCATTTGAAAAATGCCTTAAGTTTTGTTAATGTTATACATACCTCAGATTTTTTGTTTCACCTAAAAGAGGGTACTTCCAAATACCTCCTGTCTACATGCTGGGGCATGGATCAAGACTGACTCAGAAAGAAGGAGAGCCATCTACTGAATCACTAGTAATGCTTCCTGGGGTTTCCTTGGAGGTTTCCCATTCAGTAATCAGCCAGGCCTGCTGTTTTTAGGGTCTGATCAAAGCATAGGTGAGCTGATGTGGCTGAAGACTGTATATCATAAATACCAGCCTGATCTTTGCCTCAGGCTTTTTCTGGTAGAGCATAGCTTACTACATGTGTAAATAAAGTCACATACATGTGTATGGCTCCTAACTTTGTAACATTGTTGGTACCGCATAATGCTGCTGTGCCACATAGTGACTGGAATGTACAGTAGAAGGGATGGCTCAGTGGATTGATAATAGAGCAAAAGATAATCAATAACTGAGTTTTTTGATTGTCTGTCAGTTCCAAAAAAAAAAAAAAAGAAGTAAAATAAAATTATTTCAGGTCCACCCACAATGAAAAGTTTCTGAAATTTTCAGCGAAGTGAAAAGTAAAAAAAAAAAAAAAAGTTTTGGGTTGAATGAAACATTTTGTTTGTCCCAAAACGTAATGTTTTGTTTTGATTTTGAGCTTTTTTTTAAAGTTTTTTTTTAAACAATGAAATAAAATTGAAGGAAATTCAAACAAAAAGTGATTTTGAATAAAAAATCAAAATAATTCATTAAAAAATATCAAGACAAAAAGTCCTTTTCATTTTTTCATAATTTTTGTTTATTCAATTAAAATAAATTGGTGAGTTTGACACAAATTCACTAAAGGTTTTGATCAACCCATATCTGTATTTTTTGCTGAAAAAGAGTTTTGGTAAAAACTTCTCCCAGCTCTACAAAAGATTTCACCGCTCGGCCTCAGGTTCTAAAATCCAGCCTTGGTTAACGGTGACAGAAGTCTGTTGCCCTCTGTTGGCTGCTCAGTGGACTACAAGCAATGAGATCGTGATCTCAAATCCAATTTCTGGTGTGCTGATGTTCACATCACATAAGATCACAGTCTCTATCAACACCCTTGTTGTCAATTTCAGCAGTGTGATCATTTGCGCCGACAGCGGGAGCCTGCCTCATCCAGGTAAATTATGTTGATGGGGGAGTATGTACTGTACTTATTCTGTGCATAGAGTACTTCAGTCTTCAGTGATTTCAAAAGAGCATTTATCTCATACATATATCTAATCTATCTATCTTATATATACACACGCAATTACACACACAAGGATAAAAAAGGTAATTATTAAAATGGTCTCTAATTGAAACTGTTTGCCTTGCCAAGGTTAAGTAAAGGGGAGTCTGCATAATCTCAAATGATCCTTCTAGCAGTATGTAGTATAGGTGATCAATGACCCAAAACACGTAGTGGTTTGAATGGATGCAAGAGAAAATCTGTGCTCTTCTACACTATGTAAAATGCTTTTTAATTTCATAATTGAAGAACCAGTTTTGCTTTCAGAATCCTCAATGAAAAGAGCAGGCTTGAAAACATTCTGAAAATACAACACCTACAAGACTTTTACCAAAGAAAAAAAGAGGATTTCTCAGATATTTTTCTCATTTGTTTAGAGTAATAAATACATTTAGAAAAACAAAAATAGAACCTTTTGCTATGATCCTTTAAAGTTACACTCTTTGCTTGAAGACCCAGATCACATGTCTTGATATTCTGCATTTCAAATGCTGCAGCTAGTCTTAGAAACTGAATCAGCTTTTCAGAATTTACCTTAAAAAACAGATAGGTATAAACACAAGCAAAGTGCATAGGAAAATGTCAGTCTGTTATAACCTCTCTCATAAATTGCATCTTCCTGAGAAAATTAAAGTGAAAGTAAAGTGCTTTAGGGGAACAAAATCACATTTAATTTTACTTACAAAGTTAAAAGGTATCTCATACATGAAAAATATTGGATTTGTGCCTTTTTATGTTTGTATATGATGTATAATGAATCCCCTGAAATGAACAGTTAAGACCACTGAAGTCAATTGAAATCAATGGGAGTCTTTTCTCTGACTTCACTGGACTTTGGACCAGGCCCTTATAGGCCAGTGGAGGGCAAGAGGAGAAGAGGAAGACAGGTCCCTAGGATTAGTGGATTAGCAGCTGAGCATTTAGTGGGATAAGAAAGAGTTTGGCAGAAGGAGGTTTTGTGTGTATGGGGAGATCTGGCAGGAAGAGCTGGGTGAGGGTGTGCGTTGGAGGACTGATTTATAGGGCTACATCAGAAATACTCAGTATTACAGAAATGACTCCATGAGACAAGGGCTCCCCTGTGCCTCATTCAGCATACCCCTAACAAGACGCAATACCCACTGCACCACTAAGCTGGCTGAGCACTTGCACAGCACAGCCTGCCTTCCTGCTAATTGTTATTTAGAAAGTGCTAATGTTAAAACTGAGGAGCAAATCCTACCCCTGTGTCCCCTGCAAAAGAGAAGACACCATTTGGGGGGGACGGTGAAAAGGGTGCAAAGTAGCTTGTAAATGCTATGACTGGTATGGGAGAGAGTGGAATATGTTGACAGTGGTCCTAGGTGCTGGAACTAGGAGTGCTGCGGGTGCTGCCACCCCCTGGCTTGAGGTAGTAACAACAACAAATACATGGTTTCCTCCTTCAGCACACCTACTATAAAAATTGGTCCAGCACCACTGGACGTAGTAGCATGATACTTAGCACATAAAGCGCAAGGCGGTGGAACATCAGGACCATTCCCTAAAAAAATACACATCTCTACTATCTGACCTGAAGAAGAATCTCCATTCGTGGTTGTGTTGGAGCCAATGGGCGGGATTTGCAAAAAATCAATGCTGGATTAACTCAATTCCCTTTCAAGTGAAAGGTAAAACTTCCAGAATTAAGACAATGCTGAATGATTCTGAAAATCCCACCTGATTACATCTGTAGTTCAATCACTATGGGCAGTGATACATAAGCAAAATTGCCAGTATATTGCAACTTCCTTTCTGCTGTCAGTTACTGTAATCAATCACAGTAGCAACACTGGAGGCATATTAAAAGACAGAAAATGTCTAAAACGCAGAGGTCGTTTCGGCCACATTTGCTGATTAATCCTCAAACAAAAAACAAAGCCTAACATACGAGCATGTCTAAGCTAAGGAAGTTACTGCGTATTAACCTCTCTCTTCTATTTACTTGACTTGCATGGATAAGTAAAAAGGAAAAAAAAAGTGAAAAAGACTAATTGATTTTCCCCCAGTTAAGACACCCTGATGAACATACCAATTCAGAGTCATTTGACTCAGAAAACCTCTCAAAGAGGAGCTTGACAGTTGGTAATTGTAGAGAGACTTCATGCTTCAGAAGGAAGGAGCTCAGCTGCGACTGAGGAAGAAATCCGGAGATGGGATCCAGAGTCTTAAGCTCTCTCTGCAGCTTTTCTAACCCGGCTAACCTAACAGGACCCAGACTGAGCTCATTTCTGACGAGAGCCAAGAGAGAATCCTCTTCCTCGGGTGACTCCATTGGCCCTTGGCATATAGTATGCTGGAAATCATTTAGAAAAGAAACATCTGATTATCTAATATACAGTAACTCAAATGAAGAATGGTAAAGCAGATGGTTGAAGGGAGATTGCTTTATCACGTCGTTACAATGGCTGCACTGAGCAAAACAGCAGGCTCAGTCCACTCAGCCCCCTGGCTGCAAGCTAAAGCTGCGCAACAGGGCTAAAGCTGCCCTACATGGACAGCTGAGGATTCCATCTGCCACAGAGGAATCCTGGGGTTGCACAAAGCGGGCAAAGCTGCAGTTCCCCTCTTTGGTATAGGGGGCATGCTACGGTCAAATGTTGGAGGATGAGAGCCTGTGGTGGTTTCCAGATTCTCAGATGCTAGTGATGTAATTTAGAGCAGCCCTACAGCTGCTCTCAGTTACACCAAAGGCTGTTTTGTCTGGCTCAGGATTAGGGAGATAAACAGGTGGCTTAGAGTCCCCTGCCCCCTGGCTCCTTTCCCGCTCTTTTTCCTCACTTATTCAGCGTGTAAACTTTGTCTAGCTGAGGACTGAGCCCATCATTAGCAGGCCAACACTTGAACAAAACTGTCATTGAAAATATTTAATAGATGACCAGTTGTGGCAATATTTCACTACATTTACCTGGTGATGTCCTACATGTTGTCTTAAAGACCAAGCTCTAAGAGATGGCTTTTGGAGGGCATGAATGTAGGACAAAGACTGATCTCCCGATGGGACAGACACACAATGAATATTTGGTGGTTTTAAAACCTTGAAGAATGAATGTGGAATTAGACATAAGGCAATCAAAGAAAAACAAATAGTTGTGTTCTAAACAAAATATACTCTGAGTACAAATATTGACATGCACAAATATTTCATCATACAAAATATATGCTAGTTATTCCTTTTTAGAAAGCAAACATGTTTAAACTCCAACAATAATACATCCTGAAGACATATTTAACTGGAACAGCTATTAAATTATACCTCATTTTATTAGTATAATTAGCTCCTCCAGCTCTGAAAACATTCCCCTACCACTTAAGATGAAGGAAACTCTCCATCGGCTGTTGGCATTATAGTGCCTATGACTCATAGATGTGCAGTTCTAATTCCACCTAGTAGAAGGCAGTGGTGCTCACAAACACTAGCCAGTTTGTTGCAATCATGGAATGCATTCAACTTTCCAGTAGCAGGGTTAGTAAGTCTTATTGTTTAGTATTTCATACTGAGCATTAGAAATGCTCTCCTGCATTAGAGATTAGGGTTAACAGTCCACATTATTTTCAGCAAGAGATTAATTAAAGCCCAACATTTCTAAAAGCAAGCTGGCATAAATGAATCAGTTCATTGAACAAATATCTGAACGGATAACATGTCTTTCCTTTATTCCTCTGCTGAAAGCTAAACCTATCCTGATGCAGAAAGAAACAAATGCCAGGAGCTGCCTTTTGCAATAGGTTTAAAACAAACATAAATGATTAGCTACTTTCAGTGCTGATAGTCCCCAAATATTACCCTTCCTTATAACTACTGCACATACTGACAGGTTTCAGAGTAGCTGCCGTGTTAGTCTGTATCCACAAAAAGAAAAGGAGGACTTGTGGCACCTTAGAGACTAACAAATTTATTTGAGCATAAGCTTTCATGAGCTACAGCTCACTTCAACGGATGCATGCAGTGGAAAATACAGTGGGGAGATTTACATACACAGAGAACATGAAACAATGGGTGTTACCATATACACTGTAAGGACAGTGATCAGGTAAGGTAAGCTATTACCAGCAGGAGAGCTGGGGGAGGGGGGAAACCTTTTGTAGTGATAATCAAGGTGGGCCATTTCCAGCAGTTGACAAGAACGTCTGAGGAACAGCGGGGGGAAGGGGGGGAGAAACATGGGGAAATAGTTTTACTTTGTGTAATGACCTATCCACTCCCAGTCTTTATTCAAGCCTAAATTAATTGTATCCAGTTTGCAAATTAATTCCAATTCAGCAATCTCTCGTTGGAGTCTGTTTTTGAAGTTTTTTTGTTGAAGAATTGCAACCTTTAGGTCTGTAATCGAGTGACCAAAGAGATTGAAGCTTTCTCCCACTGGTTTTTGAATGTTATAATTCTTGACGTCTGATTTGTGTCCACTTATTCTTTTACGTAGAGACTGTCCGGTTTGGCCAATGTACATGGCAGAGGAGCATTGCTGGCACATGATGGCATATATCACATTGGTAGATGTGCAGGTGAACGAGCCTTGTGCAGGTGAACGAGCCCTGCAGTGGCTGATGTGATTAGGCCCTATGATGGTGTCTCCTGAATAGATATGTGGACACAGCTGGCAAGGGGCTTTGTTGCAAGGATAGGTTCCTGGGTTAGTGGTTCTGTTGTGTGGTTGCTGGTGAGTATTTGCTTCAGGTTGGGGGGCTGTCTGTAAGCAAGAACTGGCCTGTCTCCCAAGATCTGTGAGAGTGAGGGGTTGTCCTTCAGGATAGGTTGTAGATCCTTGATGATGCATTGTAGAGGTTTTAGTTGGGGGCTGAAGGTGATGGCTAGTGGTGTTCTGTTATTTTCTTTGTTGGGCCTGTCCTGTAGTAGGTGACTTCTGGGTACTCTTCTAGCTCTGTCAATCTGTTTCTTCACTTCACCAGGTGGGTATTGTAGTTGTAAGAACACTTGATAGAGATCTTGTAGGTGTTTGTCTCTGTCTGAGGGGTTGGAGCAAATGCGGTTGTATCGTAGAGCTTGGGTGTAGACATTGGATCGTGTGGTGTGTTCTGAATGAAAGCTGGAGGCATGTAGGTAGGCATAGCGGTCAGTAGGTTTCCGGTATAGGGTGGTGTTTATGTGACCATCGTTTATTAGCACTGTAATGTCCAGGAAGTGGATCTCTTGTGTGGACTGGTCCAGGCTGAGGTTGATGGTGGGATGGAAATTGTTGAAATCATGGTGGAATTCCTCAAGGTCTTCTTTTCCATGGGTCCATATGATGAAGATGTCATCAATATAGCGCAAGTAGAGTAGGGGCATTAGGGCATGAGAGCTGAGGAAGCGTTGTTCTAAGTCAGCCATAAAAATGTTGGCATACTGTGGGGCCATGCGGGTACCCATGGCAGTGCCGCTGATTTGAAGGTATACACTGTCCCCAAATGTGAAATAGTTATGGGTGAGGACAAAGTCACAAAGTTCAGCCACCAGGTTTGCTATGACATTATCGGGGATACTGTTCCTGACGGCTTGTAGTCCATCTTTGTGTGGAATGTTGGTGTAGAGGGCTTCTACATCCATAGTGGCCAGGATGGTGTTTTCAGGAAGATCACCAATGGATTGTAGTTTCCTCAGGAAGTCAGTGGTGTCCTGAAGATAGCTGGGATTGCTGGTAGTGTAGGGCCTGAGGAGAGAGTCTACATAGCCAGACAATCCTGCTGTCAGGGTACCAATGCCTGAGGTGATGGGGCGTCCAGGATTTCCAGGTTTATGGATCTTGGGTAGCAGATAGAATACCCCTGATTGGGGTTCCTGGGGTGTGTCTGTGCGGATTTGTTCTTGTGCTTTTCCCCATGTTTATTCTTCTCCCCACCCCCCCAGCTGTTCCTCAGACGTTCTTGTCAACTGCTGGAAATGGCCCACCTTGATTATCACTGCAAAAGGTTCCCCTCTCCTGCTGGTAATAGCTCACCTTACCTGATCACTCTCGTTACAGTGTGTATGGTAACACCCATTGTTTCATGTTCTCTGTTTATATAAATCTCCCCACTGTATTTTCCACTGAATTCATCCGATGAAGTGAGCTGTAGCTCACGAAAGCTTATGCTCAAATAAATTTGTTAGTCTCTAAGGTGCCACAAGTCCTTCTTTTCTCTGTACTGCCCAATCGACCATCCTCCCCACGCACTGTATTCCTAATCTCCTACCACCTGAAATGGTTTGCTTTGCATCAAAAATACAGTAGGTCCCAAATACAGAAACGATGACCCAAATATCAGCCTTCCAAAACAAGGGCTGAAGTGGTTTATTTATGAAATTCCTAGGGATGGAGGAGAAGCTGCACAAAGACCGCAGAGTTGTACATGGAACAACGTAGAGTATTGTTAGGTATTTAGCAAACAACACTGCAAACTGAAGGAGAGAGGAAGAGAAGGGAGAAATACGTTTCCTGACTGGGAAGTTATTGAACATACTGAACAGGAAACAGATACTGATTCTCCCAGGGAGAGAATGTGTATCTTCTCCTGTGGAAATTTGTCTCTGGTCTTAAAACTGAAGGGCAGGATTGTGACCCTGTGCAGTGGAATAAAGGTGAATAAGATCCCCTCCACCTATATGGCCACATGAGCGCTCCCTTCATTTTTGCTCCTGATGCTGAGGCTAGAACATGGGGGATAGAACTCGGACTGTGAATCTGGTACTTCTTCCAAGCAGGGAGCAAAGAGCAGGCCAAAGAGGCAGAATTAACATGCTGAGCTGGCACAAATGGGGAAGTCAGCCATACGTAGTAAAGAGCTCCAGTGAGTTACTTCCCCTGAGCAAGGGAGCACCACTCAAAAAGGCACAATTCCTGCCCCTAGGACAATGCAGTTATGCACTGTCCCATGTGTGAGGCAGAGTCTAAATTTTTAAAGCATCCTCCCCCTCAGCACAACCTCTAGGACTGACACAGTTTGACTCAGGGGTGTACAGCACCTCTCAAAGTCAGGCCGGGCATTCCAAGCTGTGCACCCACAAAGGGAGGTACCCAAAATTACTGAACACTTCTAAAAATCTAGGGTCCAGCTAGAGCGGGGCAAATAATGGATTTTTTTGGTTCGTTGGCAATTCTGAATTTTTTTTTTTAAATTTCTGGTCGAAGAAAATATTTCTTTTGACCCAAAACAAAATGTTTCATTTCAATTTCAAGCATTTTTAATGTTTCTGCATTTTGTAAAAAATAAAATGGAAGAAGTTTGATTTTTTCGAATGTTGGGGGGCAGGGGTAGGGGTTCCAACACAAACAATATGGGAAAACCAACATGAATTGGCAAAGCATTACAGTTAGACTGAATCTAATTTTTTTGCTGAAAAAAGTTTTGTCCAGAAAATAGGGCTGTCAAGTGATTAAAAACATTAATCACGATTAATTGCGCTGTTAAACAATAACAGAATACCATTTATTTAAATATTTTTGGATGTTTTCTACATTTTCAAGTATATTGATTTCAACTGCAACACAGAATACAAAGTGTACAGTGCTCACTTCATATTTATTTTTATTACATATATTTGTGCTGTAGAAAACAAAAGAAATAGTATTTTTCAATTCACCTCTTACAAGTACTGTAGTGCAATCTCTCTATCATGAAAGTTGAACTTACAAATGTCGAATTATGTACAAAAAATAACTGCATTCAAAAATAAAACAATGTAAAACTTTAGAGCCTACAAGTTCACTCAGTCCTACTTCTTTTTTAGCCAGTCATACAAACAAGTTTGTTTACATTTGCAAGAGATAATGCTGCACGCTTGTTTATGTCACCTGAAAGTGAGAACAGGCATTCGCATGGCACAGTTGTATCTTGCGATGCCGGCTAATTACATGTCAGATGTGTTAATGATTCATATGTCTCTTCATCTTCAGCCACTATTCCAGAGGTGATGCATCCATGCTAATGAAGGGTTCTGCTTGATAATGATCCAAAACAGTGCAGATCGATGCATGTTCACTTTCATCCTCTGAGTCAGATGCCACCAGCAGTTGATTTTCTGTTTTGGTGGTTCGGGTTCTGTAGTTTCCACATAGAATCACAGAATATCAGGGTTGGAAGGGACCTCAGGAGGTCATCTAGTCCAACCCCCTGCTCAAAGCAGGACCGATACCCAATTAAATCATCCCAGCCAGGGCTTTGTCAAGCCTGACCTTAAAAACTTCTAAGGAAGGAGATTCCACCACCTCCCTAGGTAACGCATTCCAGTGTTTCACCACCCTCCTAGTGAAAAAGTTTTTCCTAATATCCAACCTAAACCTCCCCCACTGCAACTTGAGACCATTACTCCTTGTTCTGTCACCTGCTACCACTGAGAACAGTCTAGAGCCATCCTCTTTGGAACCCCCTTTCAGGTAGTTGAAAGCAGCTATCAAATCCCCCCTCATTCTTTTCTTCTGCAGACTAAATAATCCCAGTTCCCTCAGCCTCTCCTCATAAGTCACGTGCTCCAGCCCCCTAATCATTTTTGCTGCTCTCTTCTGGACTCTTTCCAATTTATCCACATCCTTCTTGTAGTGTGGGGCCCAAAACTGGACACAGTACTCCAGATGAGGCCTCACCAATGTCGAATAGAGGGGAACGATCACATCCCTCAATCTGCTGGCAATGCTCCTACTTATACAGCTCAAAATGCTGTTAGCCTTCTTGGCAACAAGGGCACACTGTTGACTCATATCCAGCTTCTTGTCCACTGTAACCCCTAGGTCCTTTTCTGCAGAACTGCTGCCTAGCCACTCGGTCCCTAGTCTGTAGCACTGCATGGGATTCTTCCGTCCTAAGTGCAGGTCTCTACACTTGTCCTTGTTGAACCTCATCAGATTTCTTTTGGCCCAATCCTCTAATTTGTGTAGGTCCCTCTGTATCCTATCCCTACCCTCCAGCGTATCTACCTCTCCTCCCAGTTTAGTGTCATCTGCAAATTTGCTGAGGGTGCAATCCACACCATCCTCCAGATCATTTATGAAGATGGGAGCATGGGAGTGTTGCTCTTTTAAGACTTCTGAAAGCATGCTCCACACCTCGTCCCTCTCAGATTTTGGAAGGCACTTCAGATTCTTAAACCTTGGGACGAATGCTGTAGCGATCTTTAGAAATCTCACATTGGTACCTTCTTTGCATTTTGTCAAATCTGCAGTGAAAGTGTTCTTAAAATGAACAATGTGCTGGGTCATCATCCGAGACTGCTATAACATGAAATACATGGCAGAATGTGGGTAAAACAGAGCAGGAGACATATTATTCTCCCCCAAGGACTTCAGTCAAAATTTAATTAATGCATTTTTTTTTAACAAGCATCATCAGCATGAAAGCATGTCATCTGAAATGGTGCCCAAAGCATGAAGGGGCACTTGAATGTACAGCATATCTGGCACATAAATACCTTGCAACGCCAGTTACAAAAGTGCCATGTGAATGGCTGTTCTCGCTTTTAGGTTACATTGTAAATAAGAAGCGGCCAGCATTATCTCCCGTAAATGTAAACAAACTTGTTTGTCTTAGCGATTGGCTGAATAAGAACTAGGACTGAGTGGACTTGTAGGCTCTAAAGTTCTACACTGTTTTGTTTTTGAGTGCAGTTATGTAACAAAAAAATTGGCATTTTTAAGTTGCACTTTCACAATAAAGAGATTGCACTACAGTACTTTTATGAGCTGAACTGAAAAATATTATTTCTTTTATCATTTTTACAGTGCAAATATTTGTAAGAAAACAATAATATAAAATGAGCACTGTACACTTTGTATTCTGTGCTGTGATTGAAATCAACATATCTGAAAATGTAAAAAAACATCCAAAAATATTTAATACATTTCTATTGGTATTCTATTGTTTAACAGTGTGATTAAAACAGCAATTAATCAAGATTAATTTTTTAAATTGTGATTAATTTTTTTTAGTCAATCACGTGAGTTAACTGCGATTAATCGACAGCCCTACCAGAAAATTATGCCTCAATCTTGTTCAGACTTCTGTGAGCCAGTTTATCCATCTGTGAGATGAGTATAATCCTGCTTATTTATATCACAGGACACAGTGCAGCTGAATTAACATCAGCAATGCCTTTTGAGATCCTCAAGATACTAAAGACCTGAGTGCAAAATTCTTATTCAACTTGACTTCAGCAGGACTATTTGCATGAGCAAGTGCTCACAAACATAAGGATTGCATTACTAGGTTCCTAGTTCACATAATATTTATATTGCTGCAAAGAGACCTGGTTATTTCAACATTAAGTATTACCCATGGATTTCCCCTGTAACTGATTGTGCAATTCAAATTGTTGCGGCTACAGTTTATAGCAACTCACTTTGCCATCCAAAAATCTGCTGTTGCTTGTTTGCGCTTGTTTAGACTCGTGTTCTTCCTGTTTGTCTGTGCTCCGTCTTTCATAATCTAGGTCATAACTGATTTGTTGACAAAGAGGGTTATTGAGACCTGGAGGATTTCCATGTGTCTGTCTTGTATTACAACTAGGCAATTTCCGGAGTGCAGACTGAGTTTCCACTTTCGTGCCCTCCTTTGCCTTGCTGCGAAAAACAGGAGCAGAGATATAGCCTTATGCAAATATATATTCCATTTGCATTTAGATTAGACAGTAACATACATATTCTGTTCTTAGAAAGTTAGTTGCTTGGATTTGAAGCCCTCAGATATTATCAGTGGAATCTAGATTCGTATGTTTCAAAGCCAGACAAGACCATTAGATCATCTAGTCTGACCGCCTGTGTAACAGGCTAGAGAATTTCATCCAGTTACTCCTGTATTGAGTCCCATTACTTGTAGACAGGGGTGAAAGTAACTTAAAGGACTTAACAGTATGCAGGGTGGCCGGAGTCCTGGGCAAGGTGGCAGGTGGAGGGGGCCGCTCTGGGCCCTCAGAAGGGGCGGGGCCTCGGGTGGAAGGGGCAGGACTGGGGCCAGACTTCCCCAGCCAGCCCTTCAGCACTGCCCAGCCCGCGCTCTGGCAGCAATTTAAAGGGCCTGGGGCTCCAGTCACTGCCGCAGTAGCGGCTGGAGCCCTGGGGCCTTTTAAATAGCCAGGCCCCGGCAGCTGCCTCTTTTGTCCCCCTCGCCCCCATCAGCGGCCTTGCTGGTACGGTGCTTGAAGCATTGCCGTGGCAGCACTTTAACGTCGGCTGTGTGCCGGCCCATACCGGCAGCCACTTTCTCTCTGGTACACCATACCAGCCCGTACCAGCTTACTTTCACCTCTGCTTGTAGAGGCGGAGACGTTAGGAAGCTGGAATTGCTATGGCTTTAGGATTCAGTATTAGGAAGGCTGACCCAAATAAACACTTACCGCACCATGGGACAAGTTCAGCTCCAGTGTCAATTTGGCTCAGGTCTAGTGAACGTCACTGAACCGCTGACCTAACTGGAGTGGTATTAATCCTGTCCCAGGAAAGATTTTGACCTCACAGAGATGGCACAGAGAGATTAGCCAAACACACTTGTCTATGGGTGTTCTAGAGTGTAAAATGGATCTTTGCTTAAAGGTTCCTTTGGGTTTATACAGTTTCCCTCACTCTTTCACTGATGTTAGATTGGAATTTCAACAACCAGACACATATTCTGTTAGTAATCATCAAGTTGGGTTTCCTGTGTAAAGCAGGTTATTTCTTATTATACCCCATTGTAACGTCCTGGAAGAAGGGACTACTCTTCCAATTTGGAATTTCAACAACCAGACACATATTCTGTTAGTAATCATCAAGTTGGGTTTCCTGTGTAAAGCAGGTTATTTCTTATTATACCCCATTGTAACGTCATAGAATCATAGAATATCAGGCTTGGAAGGGACCTCAGGAGGTCATCTAGTCCAACCCCCTGCTCAAAAGCAGGACCAATGCCCAATTAAATCATCCCAGCCAGGGCTTTGTCAAGCCTGACCTTAAAAACTTTTAAGGAAGGAGATTCCACCACCTCCCTAGGCAACGCATTCCAGTGTTTCACCACCCTCCTAGTGAAAAAGTTTTTTCCTAATATCCAACCTAAACCTCCCCCACTGCAACTTGAGACCATTACTCCTTGTCCTGTCCTCTTCTACCACTGAGAATAGTCTAGAACCATCCTCTCTGGAACCACCTCTCAGGTAGTTGAAAGTAGCTATCAAATCCCCCCTCATTCTTCTCTTCTGCAGACTAAACAATCCCAGTTCCCTCAGCCTCTCCTCATAACTCATGTGTTCCAGTCCCCTAATCATTTTTGTTGCCCTTCGCTGGACTCTTTCCAATTTATCCACATCCTTCTTGTAGTGTGGGGCCCAAAACTGGACACAGTACTCCAGATGAGGCCTCACCAATGTCGAATAAAGGGGGACGATCATGTCCCTCGATCTGCTCACTATGCCCCTACTTATACATCCCAAAATGCCATTGGCCTTCTTGGCAACAAGGGCACACTGCTGACTCATATCCAGCTTCTCGTCCACTGTCACCCCTAGGTCCTTTTCCGCAGAACTGCTGCCTAGCCATTCGGTCCCTAGTCTGTAGCTGTGCATTGGGTTCTTCCGTCCTAAGTGCAGGACCCTGCACTTATCCTTATTGAACCTCATCAGATTCCACGTCCTGGAAGAAGGGACTACTCTTCCAATTTGTATTTTAATTAAGACTGCAGGTTACACTGAATTGGAAGACAGACCACTCAAATTCTTCTGTTTTCTTTTTTTGATGACCAGCCCTTACAGCAAAGGGAGAAAGGCAATGCTCATGGAAAATTCTTGCCATTGATAATCTATTATTAATACCCTTCTTTTTTATGCACGATAAACAAGTTAACTAAACACCACCATCAAATTACTACATGTGATATATTATCAACTAGATGAGAAGAACCAGTGGTAAGTCATTAATTTTAATAAATGTCATGGTGTTCACATTTTCCAGTCTAGTTCACAAAGAGAAATATAGGATTGGGTTTTTAAAAGTGAGTCGGTGGTGGGGTTTTTTTTAAAGCACAACTGCAGGAAATCTATAATATTTCCTGTGAGTGCTGCTATTTTGCCTATAATGGTACCTAACTAATGCTTGATTTATTTAGTTTTACTTGCACATACTATAAAATGTTTTCTATTGCTAGATTTAGAAGTTAGATATTAAGATCTCTCTTTTCATTTTCTTTTTAAGTAGCTAATTCCTATTTGTCATCCAGCTGTCTCTTTTTTAAGGCCAAGGTTTTCAAAAATGGGGGCCTAAAGTTAGAAGTGGGATTTTCAAAGTCACTAGGGATTCAGACACCTAATTCCCATTAGAAATAAATGGGGGTTACAATTTTCAAAAGTGCTTAACGCCTACTTACTTTCAATGGGATGTAGGCTCCTAAATCACTTAGGTGCTTTTGAAAATGTTGCCCTGGGTTTCCACATCTCCTGGGCAGCTTTGCAAACCCAACTCCTAAAGGCCAGATTTTCAGAACAGATTACGTCCCATTTAGGTCGCTAAATTAAGTAGCCAGCTCCTTAAATGTACTCAGCTTTTGGCAGCTCCCAGTGGTCTCAGTGGAAGCTGGTGGGTGCTGAATACTTTTGAAAACCTCATTTTTTGCTGAGCTCTTTTGGTAACCTGGACCATATTTTGGCATGCAAGGCACCTGATTTTCAAAAGTGCTGAATACCCAGTAGCTCCCCTGGAATTTAATAACATCTGTGCAATCTGAAAATCAGGATACATACTTAGATGTTTACATAGGGACTTATGAGCCTAACGTTAAGCACCCACTTTAAAAAAAATGTTTTGGCCCTAAGTACTTATAGGCTACAATTTGGGGTCTTGTTTTTATTTTTATTGTAGTCTTAAACCCATCCAGCATTTCAAATTCCTTCAGTGACCCTTCCTGAAACAAATAAACAATTACATTCATATGCTGTAGAGTTCTTCAGCATCATACTTACATTTTTGGTTTTTCCACCATGCACCGGACGTACTTGCTCCCAATGATTTTTACAATGGTCTCAGTATGTGCATCAGCCCCATAGGGAACATTCCTGACTGAAGACATGATTGGCATCAAGTACAACTATCAGTCTATATATTGTCCATTCCCACTCTCCTGTAACATTAAACAAGATGTCATCACCAACTGCGTTTGACGGGTAAGAGGGATGGTGGGATCGAGTAAGTCACCTCTCTCCATTTATGAACGGAATTGAAAATGGGGTGGGGAGAGAGCGTCGACTGGCGTATATTGGTGTAGCTGCCTTGGCTTGGATGGATCTATGCAGATTTACACCAGCTGCCTAGAGTGCCTGTACAAACTCACTCCTACTTGGGTTGCCAATTCAAATCCAAAATGTCTTGAAAGGAATAAATAAATAAACAAACCCAGGTTCTGATCAGCAGTCACGGTGGCAGCCCTGGGAGGAATCAGCTGAGCAAAGATCATATCAGGATGTTTCATGGGGTAGGAGGAGGACGGAATGGTTTTCCCTGGGAAGAAAACTACAGGGCACAAAGGCAGCTGGTATACAGGTGAGGCTCAGCTTCTCAGGGGACCCTGACGTGGCCGTTCCTGAGTCCCTCCCTCCCTCCCACAAGCTGTTCGCCTGCCCACACGAGAGAGGAAAGAACAGAGGCCCCGCTGCTGCCTGGCCTGTTTTCGGTGCGACCCGGCCGGGGCAGAGGGGCGGGGAGGGCCCGGGCAGACCCAGGTGGGTCATCCCCAGTGAGACACCTCCGTACCCCTCACCCAGCAGGCTTCTTCTGCCTCCCCACCAGGTGCTTGCAGCCCCTACATGGCTGCTTCTGGCCAGGGGCCGCCGCCCCGCAGAGGCCGCCGAGCCGGGGGAGAGCCGACGGGAGCCCCGCGGCAGCCGGCGCGGGCTACCCCGGGAGCTGCCTGGCAGGAGGCGGCGGCTGTTGCTAGGGGTGCGGGGCCGGGCCCAGGCTGCAGCGCCGCCGGGAGGCAGCAGGAAGACGAGCTGAGCCGGAGCTCGCGCCGCTGCCGGCTCCCCGGGCCCGTGCGGGGCTCGCGCGGCCGGCCGACCACAGCAGTGGCAGCCCACCCAATGCACTAGCCGCCCCCGGATTCATACAGATCTGCTCTTGTGGTCTGACCCAGAGCCCAGAGAAATCAAAGGGAGGCTTTCAAGGTGCCTTCCCCACTCTGAACTCCAGGGTACAGATGTGGGGACCTGCATGCAAACCTCCCAAGCTTACTTTTACCAGCTTAGGTTAAAACTTCCCCAAGGGACAAACTATTTTAACTTTTGCCCTTGGACTTCCGCTGCCACCACCAAACGTCGAACACCAGTTACTGGGAACGAGTCTGTTTGGAAACGTCTTCCCCCCCCCCCAAATCCTCCCAAATCTTACACCCCCTTTCCTGGGGAAGGTTTGATAAAAATCCTCACCAATTTGCAGAGGTGACCACAGACCCAAACCCTTGGATCTTAAGAACAATGAAAACGCATTCAGTTTCTTAAAAGAAGAATTTTCATAGAAGAAAAAGTAAAAAGAATCACCTCTGTAAAATCAGGATGGTAAATACCTTACAGGGTAATTAGATTCAAAACACAGAGAATCCCTCTAGGCAAAACCTTAAGTTACAAAAAGACACAAAAACAGGAATCTCCATTCCATTCAGCCCAGCTTATTTTCTCAGCCATTTAAATAAATCAGAATCTAACGCATCTCTAGCTAGATTACTTACTAAATTCTAAGACTCCATTCCTGTTCTGTCCCTGGCATCACACTGACAGAGAGAGATAGGCTTTGTTTCTCCCTCCCCCCAGCTTTTGAAAGTATCTTTTCTCCTCATTGGTCATCTTGGTCAGGTGCCAGCAAGGTTATCCTAGCTTCTTAACCCTTTACAGGTGAAAGGGTTTCTCCTCTGGCCAGGAGGGATTTTAAAGGTGTTTATCCTTCCCTTTATATTTATGACAGAGGCTGACGCTGGCTGAATCAGGGCTTGAGGTTATTAGTGGCACTAAATTCAAATGGGAATTTTGGGGTGCACAAAAATGCAGAATCGGGCCCAGAGATAGACCCTCATCCTTGTTATTGAATCCCTGACCTGGAGCAGCATCACTATAAGTCGCCAGGAGAAAGCGTTCACTGAGCACACTCCATTTACCACGTGTTGTTAAAAGGAAAGGAGATGAACAGTAGTATCAAGTGAATTAAAAATTAGCCCATTTTAAACCTCCGTTGAAATTGACTAGGTATAAAAAGAAATCCAACTCCTAGGGGGAGGTACAAAAGTCAAAATCCAACACATTTCTTTACAGGCAGTTATGAAAACTGTTCTTCCGGAAAGTTTAATTGCAGATCCATTTCAAAGGTTGGATATTTCACACTGGGATGAAGTCTGCCCTGAGTGTGAACAAACACGGATGTTAAAGCCACAATGCAAAGAACACAGCACATTCCAGGTTTTGACAAGCATATACATGTAAGGAATGCACAGAGAGCCAAAGGTGTAAGGTAAGTTTGCAATGGTTTCCTGACAAGTGCATTTTTTTCTTAAACAGAAACACTGACTAGAAGGCACGTTGACTTCCTCCAGATAAGCAGCTAATACCATTGCCATAATAATAGCCAAACAGACATAACAGATCCCTGGTGCTGGAACTAAGGGGGCTACAGGTGCAGCAACTAGCTTGTAGTAGTAGGAACAAACATCAAATACGTGATTCCACCGTTTCCATCATCAGCACCCTCACTATAAAAATTGTGCAAGCATCCTTGCAACAGATCATTGTTAAAAGACAGTTCTTTCTTTTACTACTGGAACTTTCAGTGCAGCCCAAAGTTATCAAATTCGTAAAATAAAAATGTTGTGAACACTTACATTACTGGTTTCAGAGTAACAGCCGTGTTAGTCTGTATTCGCAAAAAGAAAAGGAGTACTTGTGGCACCTTAGAGACTAACCAATTTATTTGAGCATGAGCTTTCGTGAGCTACAGCTCACTTCATCAGATGCATACCACATGCATCTGATGAAGTGAGCTGTAGCTCACGAAAGCTCATGCTCAAATAAATTGGTTAGTCTCTAAGGTGTCACAAGTACTCCTTTTCTACTTACATTACTATGTCAATAGGCCAGATTCCCCCTTGATCTAAGTAGATTAGTATGATTTATTTTTCACAATATATACAGCCGGAAATGGGCCACAACTTGAACCATTTATGCAATGCACCAACTTTCAGACTTGGTGGTTCAGATAAAACAGGATCAAGTTTTGATTTTGCAAAACCAAACCCTAACTGATGAAGTTTTTCAAAACTATATCCAGTCCTAGTTTTGCGCATTTCTAATGTAATAGATGATGACATGAGCAACCAAGCATCTGAAGAAAGTTCATTAGCAATCACAGTTCAGTCCTTTTCCAGAGTGCTGGACAGTAAGTCCTGTGTTTTATAGAGAAGACAGATTCATGAATGACTCTGACTCCCAGTCTCTGCCCTTCAGGGACTGATTCAGTGGTTCTCAACCTGTGGCCCGGAGCTGCGGCCCATGTGACATCCTCAGGGCCATATAGGCTGTATTGGATGCGCCCCACATAACACTTTGTGAGCCGCATATGTGGCCCACAATGGAAAATAGGTTGAGAACCACTGGTGATTGAATCAGGAAAATGTTACTCTTATTACACTTCCTGTCTGCTAATCCATAGAAAAGCTATGATAACACTATAGAAAAGACATGGCGGGGGTGGGGGGGGGGAGGGGGAATCACATAGGCAGCTTCTGCTATAAAAATGAGGCAACATCCCCTCCCCAGAAAAAAAAATAGGTCATATGCCTGGATCAGCTGAGACAGACCTGCCAGAAAAATATCCGGATCAATTTTAGATTGCAAATATAATAGCATATATTAAGATTTTCCCAGAACACTTACAAAACAGCTTGGTAGCACGCTTTTCCTTTTCCACAAATGCAGCCATTTTTAGTGTCAAGGTCCAATCCATGCAATATTAATTGAAAATGCCTTTGCATCTCATGTCTATTATACATTACATTTGAATGAGTGGCAAGTATGCAATAAAGGGTTTGTAACTATGAAACTGGAAATTGCAATTCTAGTTCTGATCACTGGATGGCACTACAATAGAAATTTCGACCAAAAAAGAAAATCAGATTAGAATTTGATGAAGGCATATGCAATGTGAAATATTGTAATGTAACATTTGATACATTTGCTGATCTAAACTTGATAAACATAATGGCTACATGAATAATGGGCAATTTAAATCATTTTCTTTTCTGGATTCTTTGTGTATGTATGTTACTACTCCACAGAAAAATATCATGTAATAAAATACTTGGCCCAAAACATATGATTTTTTATTATTTGTCTATGATCATCAGAACATAAATATTTCTTAATTGAAAGCACTTATATATAAACAATATAATCTACTGTTAGCTCATTAATCCCATTTCAAAAGAATACATCTGTAAGGAGCTAATGTACACTCCAATTGGGCAGCCATTTAGCTTTTTCTATACAAAGCTCATTTTCTTTCACTACAAAAGCACAGCAGTTACTCAGAAAGGTTGCCAAGCATTTGTATTCCTAGAAAATTAAAATAAATTCTATAACAAAATGATAGTTGAATTCAGATAATATTTTAAATACATAAAAGTCTGGAAATTCAGAGGTGGCCGAAACACTGTATTCAGTTATAATCTTTTATAAACCATGAAATCACAGCCTTTTCAGCTTTACCTTGGCACATGTACAGGAATGTAAAGTTGAATGGCAGTATTGATCTGCATATCATTGCTTTTGAAAGTCCAGTTTACCACTTTGATGCTGTTCATGATAATTTCCCACGTATATATTTGCTAGAATATTTGGTGGGAATGTTTTGAAAATAAGTATTGAACTTTCAGTTGACAAAATAAAATAATCTTACATTTTACGTAGTACTTTTCTTACTCTGTGTGTGTGTGTGTGTGTATTATATATATCATAGGTGGGATTGGAAACATGGCCCATTCTTAAGGCTGCGAGTCTGTCATGGAGATCACGAATTCCGTGATTTCTGGGACCTTTATGACTT